TATCAGTTACTATGCTTATTACCCGGGTGATGAAGTAACTTTTTACCCCAAACCCCCATGACATGCAATTTACCTATATAACAAATTTGCACATGTACCCCTGAACCTAAATTAAAAGTAAAAAAAAAAAAAAGAAAAAGAAATCACGCTCAAAAAAGAGGGCTACTTTAGGGAGTAGGTTCAGTCTTCCACTCTCTGCCATATGAAGACAGACTTCCTCTCTTGCTTTTCCACCTTCCATCATGTGATGACACACTAAGAAGGCCCACACAAGACGCCAGCACCTTGATCTTGGACTTCCCAGCCTCCAGAACTGTAAGAAATACATTTCTGCTCTTTATAAACTACCTAGCCTGTGGCATTCTGCTACAGGAGCACCAAACAGACAAAAACACCTGCCTTAAAAAATATTTGTTATTTATTTATCCATCCTACTCAGGTTTTTTAATAAGGAATTTTTGATATCTAGTGTATTATGTTGCCAAAATTAAAGTCAAAATTAAGTCAAATAAGAAATTAAAATGTCTCTACTAATGACCCATCTGCTTTCTGATCTTACTTCTATTTCTCCACATTTCCCCAAAACCAGAAAGTCTCCAGACTGGCCCCATGGTCACTCAGCATCATTTTATTCTCAGAATCCAAACTTCTTCCCTGCCTAGAATGTCTGCCTTCTTTCCTTCCACCTAGCCCAGTGTTTCTCACCCTCAGCGCTACTGATATTTTTGCAGGATAATTCTTTGTTGTGTGAGAGGAAGCTGTCCTGTGTATTACAGGAAGTTGAGCAGTGTCCCTGGCCTCTACCCACTGGATTCCAGCAGCACCCTTCCTAATTGTGACAAACATAAATGTCTCCAGGAACTGCCAAGTAGCCCCTAGAGGATTAAATGGCCCTTGGTTGAGAGCCCCAGTATCGATGTGCAATATTATCAATATAATATTAAGAATAATAATTAATGTGCAATATATTCTAATCTGAGAGGTCAAATGGTACAATTTAGCACTACAGCACTGCATACATTGCTGTCCTGTTACTCCATTTTTTAAAATTTTACTTCACAATCATTTTGTTTCTTAACTCAACTAGGGTAGCATAAGGCACAGAGCAGGGGCTCAGTAATATTTATTTGCTGTGTCCAAAGAGAAGAGTTGTTTGGTTAAAACTAAATCTGCTGGCCGGGTGCAGTGGCTCATACCTGCAATCCCAACACTTTAGGAGGCCAAGGTGGGCAGATCACCTGAGGCCAGAAGTTCGAAACAAGACTGGCCAACATGGCAAAACCCCATCTCTACTAAAAATACAAAAATTAGCTGGATGTGGTGACACATACCTGTAATCCCAGCTACTCAGGAGGCTGAGGCAGGAGAATCCCTTGAACCCAGGAGACAGAGGTTGCAGTGAGCTGAGATCATCACATTGCACTCCAGCCTGGGTGACAGCAAGACTCCATCTCAAAAAAAACAAACCTAAATCTGCTAAGTGACCATGTCCTATAGTGAGCTTTAAACTACCAATTTTAATAATTTAATGATTCTAAAATTGCAAATTAATAAATTATATTGGATCCACTTGAGAAACTATGATTTGGCTAGCTTTTAGACTTTAATCAAACTTTAAATAGCATTCCAAAGTGTTAGAAATATTTCTGCTCTTTTTTGCAAAGAAGACAAATTGGCTGATGAAAATCAGTGGTTTTAGGTCACTCAGGAGTAATTAATCAAGAGATATTTGAATAAACATCATTAAATGACAACACATAAGATGTGATTAAGATATAATGATTATCAGTAATCATAGGGTGAATAAATGGTTTTAAAATGTCAATTTATAACCTTCAGTTATATTGTAAGAACAATCCTTTCATGTATTCTCTGTTTGTACCTATATTTACACTGGTAATATAAATTTAACATTAGATAATTCTTGAAATATGTTAATATTTAAACAGACAATTATGTTTATCAGTGTTTTCATTTAAACTAAATCATGCTTTTTGAAACATTGCTGAATATGTGATTATACTTCTCTTTTACCTTTTGTTCATAAAATAGAGGACATTATTCCTTAGCACTAGATTTGAAGTATTTGTGTTAGTCTCAAGTATTTCCAATACTTCTCATCATTTTAAAAAGTTACCTCCTCAGTACTGATCTCGCAAATGTTAGCAGGTTTTTGAGGCATTTGAGTTGCAAGGATTTACATCTCAGTATAAATCCATCATGGCTAAATTCTTCATTCTTCTTCAAGTGTCCACACAATATCCAACATCCCGATGAAAAGTAAAAATATTAATCAGTTGAAAAGTAAAAATGTTGATCAGTTCCGTGTATCTACATGTTTGGCACCACAGACAAAACATGACTGCCAGAAGTTTTCCTTCTCCCTTTGACCTGATGCTCCAGTGTCACACTGATACAGCAAAGGAAAAAGATGGTGTTCTGGGAGAGGAGAAAAATGAAGCTAGTCCTATTTGTTGAGACATCTTATGGTTATGTGAGCACCAAAGAAAAAGAGACATACTTTACACAGTTCTATCACCAAAGGAAAAATTCAAGGAGGTATTTCCTTCTTGGTGTCCAATGACTGACTTACTCACACACCTCTCTTATCCCAGGCCACCACTATGCTCTGATAAATTGTCTGCATTGGGTTTTGGCTTTTCTCTTGTTTTGAGCCTGTTTTCCTATGTCTGTGTTTGAAATGAGTTCTAGAATCCCATCAGCAAGTCTAGTTTGGATGAGATCTGTCCTAGTTGTCCTTCCAAAAGTTGAAATTCATAAGCATCCCTTGATCTGTATGTGTCTGAGTTGTATTTTAGGTTGGTGCAAAAGTAATTGTGGTTTTTGCCATTACTTTTAATAGGGTTTAGAAGTCATTTAAGATCCTTCAAATCCTTTGTTCTGGGGACCAAGGTAGACTTGGGGTCTGACCAACAAAGTTGTTCTAGATTTCTGCTTTCCTAGGGAGCTGCTCAAGAAAATTAGGAAGGACCAATCTCTTTGCCTGATAGTCAACAGGACCTAGGGTGGAATCAGAGAACCAGGGTTAGATTGAAAGTGGATGACAGAGCCCAGCCTCACATACAGGTATCTGTTCTGACTCACCCAGTACTCAGTGTGTAGTTCACAACAACATAAATGCCTGCTTACAGCTGTAAAAATAAAAGAGAATATGGGTAAATAGCTGATTGGTATCTGTAGTTCGTTTGCAAGCAGCAAAAGTAAGCTGGTAGAGGGAAAACAGAAAAAGTAGAGATTCTCACAATTGGACTCAAAATGATTTTTTGGTTTGTTTGTTTGTTTGTTTGTTTTTGAGACAGAGTCTTATTCTGTCGCCAGGCGCCAGGCTGGAGTGCAATGGTACGATCTCGGCTCACTGCAATCTCCGCCTCCTGGGTTCAAGCAATTCTCCTGCCTCAGCCTCCCAAGTAGCTGGGACTACAGGCGCATACCACCACATCCAACTAATTTTTGCATTTTTTTAGTAGAGACGGGGTTTCACCATGTTGGTCAGGATGGTCTTGATCTCTTGACCTCAAGATCCACCCACCTTGGCCTCCCAAAGTGCTGGGATTACAGGCATGAGCCACCACGCCCGGCCAATGATTTTGTTTTAATTTGCAATATAAGACATGAGTTCCTTTAAAGATTTTACATAGGTAAGTAGATAGCTAGATAAATTGATAGATTACATAGATAAATAGACAGATTAGATGGATGGATGGATGGATGGATGGATGGATGGATGGATGGATGGATATCAAGACAGAGACAGATTTGCAACCTCTGAAAGAACCAAACCACTCTCATCTTCCTAATGCTGTCTTCCTCACCTGAAATGCACCCCCTTCACCCTTCCTACCTGCTCAGAGCCTATTCATCATTTAAGTCCTGGACTGATGAGCAAAGAGGAAGAACATAGTGACAACTCAGAAATAAGATTAAGTATCAGTACTTCTTTTAAATTACATAATTTCACTAAATAAATTCCTGCTGCTCCTCTATGGCTGTTATATGTCATTCTTAGCTATCTTTGACCTGGCCCATTCCATCATATCTTCCCTTCCATGCCATCCTCTAACCAAGACAACCTTTCCAATCAGGGTTGGTGATCACCTTGCTACAACATCCACCACCCTCACTTGCAAATGGGTGTCTCCAACAAAGGTACCACTGGATGGCTGCTAGGGTGGTGAAGAAAACACAGTTTTGAAGCCAGAATACCCCAGTTTTGGACATTAGCTTCTTTGTTTACCAACTCAGTGACTTCAGGCACATTATTTAATCTTTCAGGATCTCAAGTTCCTTAGATATAAAACATGAACCACGATAATAATTCCTACTTCATGGGGATGATGTGAGGCTTGAATGCAATCATTTATTTGAGCATCATACTGAGAAGTGTCAACCACTGTGAAGAGTCTGAAATTTTAGCAAACAAGCTAGCTTGCCTCAGATTCAGGGTTGCTGGCAGAAGACACGAAACTCCTGAGTCAGAGACAAATGACTCTACTACTCACAGCAGTATTAGCAGCCAGAGTACCATCAGTTAAGCCTATTCCCCAATCTCCAATTGACAAGAGGAAATGCAAAGGCCATTGTGACCCCTGCACACACAGTGCATTACATTATAGGAGAGAGAACTTGAATATTTTATAATAGGCAGTACACCTGCCTGATCTTTGCCCTAGAGAGAGATATTATCTCTATAATACTGCAGAGTAAGCAAACAAATCTGCTGCATGCTCTAGACAGAGACACTATCTCATCTCCCAAACTGTAATGGACATAAACACCCTTGAAAAGAGAGCCTGGAATAAAATAGGACATACTGAAACACAGAAAACCCTTGGAGAGTTATTAATATTTCCCAATAAGAAGTCAGCAGATCTCCACTCATTTTCCTTTCCTTGCTCTAGCCATTTCTCCTGCCTGGAATTTTCTCTTTCTTCCCTTTGCTGATCCAAAGTCTTTGCTTCAGTCTTCCTCAGACATTTGCCATGGTGGGACAAGAGGATCTGGTACAGTAGGAGATTCAGTAAGACTGGATGAACCGGGAGTACATTGAGAAAATCACCAGTAGCATCAAGAAAATTGCAGACTTTCTCAACTCATTTGATATGTCTTGTTCAAGATTTGTAACACTAAGGGAGAAATTGACAGCCCTTGAACAGAGAATAGAGTACATTGAAACATTGGTGACAAAAGGTGAGATGCTCACCTAGAACAGTGCCATGCTGCTGCTGGGAAGTTGCTTTACAGAACACATGCCACGTGAGAAAGGACCCAGCAGCCTTCAGCTCCTTCCTTTCCCCTTAAAGAGCAACAGGGCTTATTTTTTCTTTTTTCAAAAGTGTTGCCTTTGGGTTCCTTTGGTTTCTTCCATGTACATCTGAGGATGCAATGTAGTATGTGAGAAGTCAGAAGAACTCTTGAAAACAACATTAGGTATTTTTCCTTTCCAGTAACATTTTGTAGATCTACTTGTCAATGTATTTGAGACATTCACAGTCAAAAGCATGGGACCCTTTGTGAAAGTCCTGCCCACCCCTGTCTTTCCTTTCTCTCTCAGACTTTCTTTAAAGTTATCATTGCTTCTGTACTGCTTATATGAACAGTCTTTTCCTCCTCCACACCTTTGGTGAGAAGTGGGGGGCAGTCCTAGCCAAGACACTCATGCCCTGGCAATGTGACTACCAGAGAATGTTGTTGCTAACCCACCAGTTTCCTGTTGATTTGGGGAGGTCAAGGCCAGGCCCCCACTAGGCTTGAAGGAACATTTTCAGATGTTTCTTTCTGTCACTTGGGGTGTCTGTGCCTCTCAAATTTCCCTAATAAACTCCTCAACTTTATCTGATTGCTGTGATTATGGTAGAAATAGGACCTAGATAGGCATTCACTTATTCCATAGAAATGTAATATATGGAATTATTATTCCAACCAAACTTTCATATGTAGCTGTTTGATTCAAAGCCTAGGTGACTTGCCAGCCCAATCCCCCATGTTTGGACTTTCAGCTGATTAGTTCATCCTGGGAGTCATTTGGTCATTCAGCACATTTATCAAGTACTTACTATGTAGGTATGGTATACTCCAATAAAATATACAGTATTGAATCAGAAAAAAAAGTCTTTGTCTCATTCGAAGCACAAGTCAAATGTCCCTTCCTTGAGGAGCCTTTTCCAAACACTCCAGTCATTATAAATCCATTTGCAGAGTTCCTACTTCCATTTGTAGTCTGTCTTATAAAAACAAGTCATTCTTTGACTTGTTCAACACTTCTACTTTCTAAAATCTTTAAATTCAGGGCTGTATTATAAGGGGTTGTAGTAGATGCTACTTGTGTCCCATCTGTAGCCCCTTAGCCTATGAGTGGCTAGCTAACTGCCTGACTTCTCATCACCTGAGGGTTGTGCACTGCTTCTATGGACAGTCTTTTGTCTCCTCCACACCTTTGGTGGGAAATGGGGGCAGTCCTGGCCAAGACACCAGTCCTGGCAATGTGACTACCAGAGAATGTTGTTGCTAACCCACCAGTTTCCTGTTGATTTAGGGAGGTCAAGCCCAGGCCCCCACTAGGCTTGAAGGAACATTTTCAGTGACTGGAATGTACACCTGCAGGCCTGAAGAGCTAGGGAATTAAGCTCCACCCCCCAGTAGCCTTCAACCAATGGCAGATGGAAGCTGGTGTATCAATGCCCAAGCTCCTTTGTTCCTTGGGTAGGTGCATGCTCTACCCTGACTCCTAGAGTTCCTGTGAGGCCATAAGCTCCATTTACCCTCGGTGGAACCTGCTTGATGACAGACCCTTTGGTGGGTGCCCTCTCTTTCCTGTCTTGTTTTCCCCCTCGCCACCCAGTGTTTTCTGAGAAGACCAGCTCCCCCAGAACCTAGTTGCACTAAATTTCGATCTCAGGATCTTTTTCCAGGAAAATGCAAACTGAAAAGGGTACCAACAAAAGATTATCTGTGGACTACACTGAAATTATTAAATACTTGTTAATATATAGCTTTTACTCAAAATCACTATCATATAAATTATGAGGCATTAGGTCCAATTCCATCATAAATATTTGAAAATCATTCCTTATATTCCCAAAGAATAAATAATCATGATAGTACAGTTATACTATCACTGAAGTAATGTTTGGAGCTAAATGAATCTATGTGTCAAGGCAACAAAAATATCAGCAGCCAAGGAGATGCATTTGGCCCCAGAGTGCATCTGAAATGCTGCTTGACATCTGAGAATGACTTAGAAGTGCTCTTCCAGCAGTCCTGTGTGGGATGGGATGTGACCAGAGGGACTTTGAGAATATACATAGGACGGGCCGGGCGCAGTGGCTCAAGCCTGTAATCCCAGCACTTTGGGAGGCCGAGGCGGGTGGATCACGAGGTCAAGAGATCGAGACCATCCTGGTCAACATGGTGAAACCCCTTCTCTACTAAAAATACAAAACATTAGCTCGGCATGGTGGCGCGTGCCTGTAATCCCAGCTACTCGGGAGGCTGAGGCAGGAGAATTGCCTGAACCCAGGAGGCGGAGGTTGTGGTGAGCCGAGATCGCGCCATTGCACTCCAGCCTGGGTAGCAAGAGCGAAACTCCGTCTCAAAAAATAAAAATAAAAACTAAAGAGAGAGACAGAGAATATACATAGGACACTCAAGTGCTACAGAGAAGGTAGCAAAGGTCAACTGGTTCTTTTTCGAGGACTTTACTTGCTCCCGCTCCATCCCAACATATACCCTGAGCTTTTGATAACATGACATTCCGATAGGGAACTGCCCCCAGACCTATCATTGTGGCATGATTTGTAGCTTTTTTCTTTCTAGTAGTGAAAAGTGGATAGCTGGCTTTTCAGGTCACGAGCTGTGCTGTCATCCATGCTTGTAGCAGGAATAACAGGGGCATATTAACTGGGGTACATACATACCCCCTAAGGTGTGAGAGGAGTCATGGCTCTGGGGGAATTTAGGATGGGGCCCCTTTCCTGAAGGGATCAGAGCAACTCTAAAGGGAAACATAGCATCAAACATTTTAAAGGCATGATGATAAGCAACAAAAACACCTGCCACCAGGATTCTGCACAGGATTGTCATCTTTCCCCATCATGACTGGATTGACACCAGGTTGCTAGGCTATTTCTATCATCAAATACAAGACAGCATCTATTCAGTGAACAGGGAATGGAAGATAGCCTATGGATCCTTTCCCGACCATTGCCCTGCAACTCACAGGAATGCATGCTACTTGGCTACTGTAACCATTCAAGAACAGCTGCAGAAGGGGGCTTTGGCAGAGAAGCCAACTGTTTTGCCCTGCTCTCTTACTGAATGCACTAAAGCCACTCTTGCCATAATTAGTGCCCAAAGAGAAACTAAAGTAATAGGAAAGTGGAAGCTTCCTTGCTGAGACCTTAGGGATCGCTACTGAACTCTAGTGTTACTGAACTCCAGAAAGGATACGACTCACCTTGCTCTTTCAAAGGCAATCTGTCTCTGACACATCATCTAGGAGTTGTTTCTTTGATGTCTCCTGTGTTCTTTACTCTGTTCCATTTACCAAATGCATGCACACATGCACAAACCACACATACTTTATCTAAGAAAAGGCAGTTTTGAGGGATTTTTTTATCCTAGAAGTATTGACCGTTTTCAAGTTTACCTATAAAAATTAAGCAACCTAGTGTCAGTTTATCTAGAAAGACATAGAAAGCCATAGGAAAATAAATCAGTGGACCCAAAATACTATTACTATTACCATAAGGAATGTGAAATTTTAAAATAGGTAAATTCAAGCATGACCCATAAATCAGGGTCCACAGTGTACAAAACCAAAACCCTTCACACTGTGGATACTGGTTCAGGACAGGTGCACTCAAAGAGATTTGGGAAAAGTGAAGATGCCTAGGACATAGGAAAGCTACAAGGAAAGAGATCATTCTGGGGATGAAGCTAGCTGGAGAAAATGATAACTGCATTTAACAAGAATGTGGGTGTACTCTGCAAATAGTTACTATATTAAGGAATTTCAAAGTAAAGAGTAATTAAATATCAGCTTGAGTCTCATATCTGTGCTCAATCAAGAGGGGAAAAAGGTCCCTCAATCTCAGAACAGGATTCGCCTGAGAGGAAAACACATCCCGCTCTGAAGGAAAAATGTTTCCTTCTGCCATCACCATGCCCCAGTGGCAGAACTGAGTTTGAGGTTTGGAAGTCCTCATATCCAGCAGAGAGCCACTATATGATGGCCTTGTGCTGGCCCTCAGGCCTCCTAGGTACGTAAGAGTGCGTGGAGGAGAGGATGGATGGGGAGAAGCTAGTGGACCCCATGCAAACCACCCAAAGTCTCCTGTGTTCCAGGAAGAAAGCTTTCTCCCAACTCCATCCTGCACATGGTGATGTTAGCCTCTATTGCACTTTCAGGGTAAGGCATGCCTGTACCAAATCACCCCCATTTTTCTCCTTCACTCTAAAACTGGCACTGATGAGCTACTATTTGACTTAGCAGTGTAGCAGAGTTCCCAGCGAACTGCTTCAACCATCCCATCCATGTGGGTCTCTGTGGTCACTACTGGCTGATGTTCCCCAGGGCTATTTCCTCTCCTTTCTGGCGCCACAGGTGGACTATGTTTCCCGACCTCTCTTGCAGTCTCTTGTGGCTATGTCAAAAGAACAATAGTACAAGAGAAAGGTCAATGTGGAAGAGAATGTACCAGGGGATGGTTAAATGTTTGCTATTCTGAGCTTTAGTGGCACCACAAGGAAAGAGTGTTCTTTGGATGAAAATTCCAAGAGACATAAGAGGAATAAGCTTCACACAAGCTCACGTCAAATTCCAGTCCTGCCCCTGACCACTCAAAGTACATTGGGCATGTCACACTTTCTCATCATAAACATGAGGGAATTTCATCGGATGGGCTCCAAGTTTTATCCCAACATCGATACACCATGATGTATCTGTGGCTTGGTTATTCTTCCTAGCCACTAGCACATGGTTGCTATTTACTGTCCTAATAATTCAATCTCAGTTTGATTTTGCAGCACACTTTCACAGTGCCACATCTTTTCCAAGGTTCATCTGTATACACTGCCTTTCTTCCCATCCAACAGCTTGTAAAATGAGAAAAAAGGAAGCTGGCACCCCATTTAGAGATGGGGAAGCTAATGTGGTAAAACCAACAACCTACTCAGAATTATAAAATATTAGAGGCAGACCTGCAGTTAGAACTCCACTCTCCTGACTACTGGTTTTCTTCTAATTCCTGTTCACTATGTCACTTTCAGTTCCTGCAAAAAAAATGGTCACTAATGTTGCTTTATTAAATTAGTTCTTAAGCATTAATAATAAGGGGCACTGCAATTTATTCTATTCTCACTGTAAACATGTAAAATGATGCAAATGAAAAAAAAAAGACTTAAACTCCCAAAAATATGCTCCTGAAAACTTTATGAGGAACATAATTTAAATCATTTGGACAAAGCTTGCATTTACATGTATTATTCATAGAAGAGCTGGAGATGATGAAAGATTGGGGTTCACATTAAACTTATGTGTGATACAGGTCCCAACCAAAGTGCCACTTTTTTTTTCTACAAAAGAACAAAGTTCTTCATTTGGAAACATCAAAATAAACATATGTGAATAATCTCTCACATACTTCCAAGCCAATGGGCACGTCACTGGGTTATGCAAGGCACGTAATAATTTTCTATGGTAAATTACAAACCAAGAGCTTTGACTGATATCTTCTTTTTAACCAGTTATTAAGAAAACTTCTTTGCGCACTCATTAGGAAAGCTATAATAAAAAAGACAGTAATAAATGTTGGTCAGGATGTGGAGAAATTG